CAGCGAGTAGCACTTTATATTTAGCCTTATTGTTAGTAGCCTGGAACCCGAACCAAAGGATTCCATGAATGTGTGTCCCTTCGAGACTAAGAAGGAGAAGATTTGCTCTGGCCCTTTTCCTGTTCGAGGAACCATCGACAGAGAGGCTCCAAGTCGACAGGTTTTGAACGGTCTCCTAGACGACTTTGTTGGTCGATTGCTCACGTCTTCGATCGGGCTGGTTCGAGAATTCTGAAATGAAATCGGCAACAACTTGCCCTTTGATGATTGCTTTTGGTCTGTAATGTAGATCGAATTGACTCAGTTCTATTGCCCATTTAAGTAACTTGCCCGAAGCCTCCGGCTTCTGAAGAACTTGCCTGAGTGAGTGATTGGTCTAAACATGGATTGTGTGGGCATGGAAGTAGGGTCGTAACTTTCTGGAGGCGATTAGTAGGGCATAAGCTAATTGCTCCATTTCTAGATATCGCATCTCAGTATCCAGCATTCGTTTGCTCGCGTAATACACTGGCCATTGAACTCTGCCTTCTTCCCGAATGAGAGTTGCACTGACCGCATATTGAGAGACAGACAGGTATAGGAGTAGAATTTCCTTAGGAAGAGGATTGGACAGGAGATGTGGTCTTCCGAGGTGTTCTTTTATACTCTGAAAGGCCTGTTTGCACTCTGGAGTCTATTCGAATTTCTTGTTGGCCCTAAGAACATTAAAAAATGGCAAGCAATGAGTTGTTGCTCTTGATATGAAGCGACTTAGAGCCACTATCCTACCATTCAGGCTCTGAACCTATTTTTTGTTGGTGGGCCTTTTCATATCGAGGAGAGCTTGGATCTTTTTGCGGTTAATTTCAATTCCCCGCTGGTTAACCATGTACCCCAGGATCTTTCCCAAGGATACCCCGAATGAGCACTTGAGAGGATTGAGCTTCATCCTGTACTTATGGAGCACGTCGAACATTTCAATGAGATGCGTTATGTGATCTAAAGCAACATGTGACTTAACTAGCATGTCATCAACATGGATTTCCATCATTTTGCCGATTTGTTTGGAAAACATATGGCTGAGCAGCCACTGATAAGTTGTCCTATCGTTCTTTAAGCCGAAGGGCATGACCTTGTAACAATACAATCCCCGATCTATAACAAACGAGGTATGCTCTTCGTCTGATGTGTACATCGGGATCTTATTATACCCCGAGTAGGCATCCATAAAGCTTGGCAGCTCATGCCCAAAGGTGGCATCAATGAGCTGGTTGATCCTTGGCAAGAGAAAGTTATCCTTTGGACATGCTTTGTTGAGGTCGGTGAAGTCGACGCAGGTTTGCCATTTTCTGTTGGGCTTCTTTACCAAGACTGGATTGACAACCTAGCTCGGGTAAAGTGCCTCTTGAATAGACCTATTCAAGAGGAGCTTATCCACCTCAATTTTTAGGGCAGCATAGAGTTCAAGGTCCATTGCTTTTCTCTTCTGGCGAACCGGCTTGACCGCATTGTCAATGTTAGTGCATGACATATTACGTTCGGGCTTATCCCAACCATATCGGTGTGAGTCCATGCAAAAATATGGACATTCTCTTTAAGGAAGCTCGTTAGACTTTCGGTGAGCTGGGGGTTGAGATTACTCCTTATTCTTAATACTTTGGTTGGCTCATTTTCATTGGTTGATACCTTTGATAGGTCCTCAACTAGCCTGCTGTGAGGGCACTCCTGGATGCGAGAATCCATATTGTCCTCTACTAGTGCGGGCTGTGGCTCGATTCTGCTTATTGCCATGGTCTGCTCGGGGATGCCCATTAGCTTTCCCTCTCCCTCACATGCCATCTGGACTGCCCTTATGTAGCAATCACGAGATTCACGTTGGGATCCTTATACTTCCTCGATCCACGTTAAGGTGGGGAACTTCATCTTCAGATGGTAGATAGAGGTGACAACCTTGAAATTCTGTAACAGATGTCGTCCCAGGATGCCATTGAAGAGAGACGGACAATCCACCACCAAGAACTCCGTCATCTTGGTCATTTTGTTGGTTTCACCCAACATGATGGGGAGTGCAATCATTCCCTTAGGAATCAGATGATCCTCGATAAAACCATAAAAGGGGAAGGAGGCAGGCTTTAGGTCTGCCTCATCCAATTGCATTCTTTCGAAGGCTTGCTGAAACAAGATATTTACGGCGCTTACATTATCCACCAACATTCTGTGGACTTCACACCGGCCTATTTCAGGCGCAATGAGAAGTGCATCATCGTGGGGGTGATGTAATCGTACTGCATCTTTTTTAGAAAAGGTAATTTATTCTTCCCCGCGGATCTTAGCAGGTCGCGGCACTGTGCTCATTACACTCAAAGAGTCATGGCGAGCTTCTTGAGCATACCTTTCCTAGGCACCTCGAGAGTTCCCCGAGAGGTGTGGCCCCCCAAAAATGATCCCTATGTAGTAGAGCCCCTTGCGACCACGACGCTTCTTCCTTTATTCCTCTTGATCCTTTTCTTGAGCGGGAGTCGGACTGTCAACATACTTCTTGAAGTGCCCCTGTTTGATGAGGTATTCAATTGATTGCTTGAGAGCCCGACACTCATCAGTGTGATGCCCATTGTCCCGATGATAGCGGTAGTACTTTTTGCTGTTCCTGGCTGAACGGGGATTCTTCACGGGCTCTGGTTCTCTGAGCAGGCTGGCCTCCTTTGATTTATACAGAATTGTCGATACTGAGGCATTCAAATGAGTGTATTGATTTTTGTCGCGATCGCGACGAGGAACTAGGGCATAAGACTTTTTGGGCTCAAATTACTACTTCTTTCCTTTCCACTGATCGTCATTAGCCTAACTGCGATCATCCATTCTACTATTCTCCCCCCGGTTGGGAACACTGGTTGAAGGACCGGGGTTGTGAGAGCAGCCATAGAATTTTCTATTCGGAGATACTTCTCAGTGAGGTCGTAGAAGCGAGTGAAGGAAATGTCATCCTCAAATTGTAGCTCTTTCCATAAGTCAGTCTGTGGGCGAACTCCTATGATAATGAGAGTCTTAACAGACTCTTTAAGAGTGTAAGCCTCTTTGTGGAGTTCTCGGTGAAATCTGTCTATATAAGATTGGAGGGACTCATTCCTCTCTTGTCGTATATTGCTCAAATAGCTCAATGGCATTAAGAACTTCCTATTTGCCTAGAAGTGCCTCAAGAATAACGAGCTCATTTGTTGCCATGAGCTTATTGATCCCACGGAGAGCGACCTAAATCAGCGCTTGACATGGGTGGTTAATGTCACTGCTAAGCAGCGGCATTTGGCCAAGTCAGAGACTTGGTAGAGTTCCATAAGGTCATTGAACTTGTAGAAGTGGTCCTGCGGATTAGAATTCCGATCAAATGCCCGCATGTCGGGCGTCCTGAATCTCGATGGGTGAGGAGCAGCTAGTATTACTGGAAAAGGGAGAGGCCTCAGCAACCTTCCCTTGTTCGTTTTGCTGAGACTTGAGCTGATCTAATTGTTGCTGCAACTCTTCAATCCGAGATAGCGAAGTTATCGAGGGGTTACTTTTCGCAACGTGGGTTCGACTCTCATGGTTGTGATTGAGAAAAGACCGAAGGTCGGGCCCTTCCTCTACTTGGTCGGAGGCTCCGGCATACCTTGACACACGCTGGCTAGAGCGTGTGAGGGTAGCGAATGGCTCGGGGAGTTTTCCCAACCTCCGCGGTGGTCAGAACCGACCCGCGGACGGTGGGGCTTACCTCAACGACGATGGTCGAGACCATTATTTTGATGAGGGTGGGAATCTCCCCACCTTGCACTTTTATGGGTGTGCCCATATGACGTGGCGTGGGACGGCTCATGCTGCGACATGTCACCAAGTCGCAATGCCACGGGTATTTTACCCGCTACGCGATCGGTGTTTGCTAGTCCCTCGGAGCCCTTTGGCCCACTGCTCGCCACTTGTTGCCCTTTACTCTTATGTGTTGTAGTGCGTGCGATATGGGTCTTTGCCATTTTCTGCACTTTCGCGTAACCTACGAGCGTCTTTGGCGACGACATCGCCTCGTTAGACTCCGGCGGTATGACTCGGTGCAAACGATCTAGCCTCTGGCTAACCATTTGGAGAGTATTGTTGAACCTCTCCAGATAATTCATCATGGCCGGGTCGAGTTGTGAGCTGGAAGGAATATCCTCCATGATACTCTGCTAGATTGACGACACTTTAAGAGAAGTGTCATTTTGTACCTGGGGGATTTTCTCATTTTCGAGATCAGTTCGCTTAGTTTCTAAACCGCGAGCCATTTGTTGGTGGATAGGATCGGTCAGAGGTTTTTGATGAAAAGTGGATACTAAATCAGGCCCTCCTTCTAGCGTCAAACTGTTGATGCTTGATTTTGACACCAACTACTCACACGTATGAAGTGCTATGCGAACTTAGAAATCACACGTGGTATGGAAGTATAAAAAAAGATATTGAACGAGTAGCACTTTTTAAAGTGGTTCGGATGCTCTGAGGCGGATCCTACGTCCACTGTAATTATATTAATGGGCGATTATAATCAGGTCGCACTCGGCGAGTTGGATTACAATAGAGAGAATAAATGTATAGAGCGAGAGAGAGAGAGAGAGAGTATGTTTTTAGCGGTGGATGAACCAACCCCGTAAAATAGAGGAGAGCCATCTATTTATAGTTGGAGGATTCAAGCTGGTAATCATGACTCTGCGTGCAATGTAGGTGTGGTACAATTTCTAACCCGCTTCCCATTGGTTGTCTGCACAAAAGATATCCTTAAATCGAATAGGGCTTCAGCAGGTGGACAATTCCTAACCACTCATAAGTCTGACGTTTACCTGCCTCACTGACGATAGCCTTACCCCTTTCGTCCTTGCGAGACGTGGCTGCATCCAGACAACAGAAAACCTTCCTGAATTCTAATTGGTCCTTACTGATTTAAGCTCAAGTCAGCCCTGGTTTTTTGGGTATAACAGTTTCGATCCATCTCAAATTGTGTTTTTTCATTAAATAATGCAGCAATGTACTTAAATTTACCGCTCTGGGAACCATACTTACAACCTGGAAGTCATAATTTTAGCAAGGGAGCTAATTTTGCAAGTGCTGGAGCTGGTGTTCTTGAAGAAAGTAGTCCAGATAGGGTATGTACAGCATTCTAGTCAAATGAATTACTATTATTGAGGCAAAATATATCTTGACAATGCTTTCAATTTTTATAGCTTTACAGCCAAAAACAGCTAAAGTATTTTAAAGAGGTGGCCAATTTACTGAAGCAGCAACTCTGTGATGCAGAGGCCAAAAAGATACTAGCCGATGCAATCTATTTGTCTAGCTTTGGAGGCGTTGATTGCATGACTTTCATCAGAAGTATTTCTAATCCTACCGAATTACAACAACGGGAACATGTAAACAAGTGATTGGAAATTTTACAGATGTGATTAAGGTAAAATTCTGCTCAGCAAACTTCTATTATTGAGGTTTTCCCATGTTAATCTTCTTTATATTTATTTTTCTATTTTTTATGAAGGAAATATATGAAATGGGAGGGAGGAAATTTACATTTCAGAATGTGGGACCTTTGGGCTGCACACTAGGAATGAAACAAGAGTACGATCTTAGTGGTGGTGCTTGTGTAGAAGTGCTCCAAGAAATCGCTAGTCTTCACAATAGTCTTCTGACACAACCCGTCCCGAATTTCCTCATCCCGTAGGATCCGGGCGCTCCCACAAGACTCGGATACCCGAGACGTGCCATGTAGAAAAACTGCGAAACCTGTTTAAAGACATACTTTTCCTGAATAACATCATAGTATTTCCATCTCCAAACATCTCAAAAAGACATGCATCATCTTTCGTTTTACAAAAGAAAATAGTTAGGGAAACTTTTGGTATCAGGTTTTCCACTTATACTACACATTCCAAAATATGAAACAAAAGGAAATACATCATGGAAAACATGAGTTCTTGAAACGAAAGTCCAGATTTACAATGCGACATAAATATAAGACCCACATAAAAGATGTCAACGCGTGGCACAAACCCTAGCGGTGTAATGGCGCCCGCGTGTGCGGGGCTTGCACTATCTCGCGAAGGTCCTGGTGGGGGGGAAAACATTTGAAAAGGGGTAGCTAAAAATACTCAGTGAGTGGGAAGAAAAGGGAGAGGTTTATAAAAGTTCTTAAAAAAGAATAATGCTAACATACAACAATTTTCAAGCAAATCATGGCAACAATGTAACTTTATGAATAGCAATAGAACAACAACCACCCCGTTCTCGCATACAAATACAATTTATATTCTAATCATCCTGCACTCAGTAATGTACTGTACTTCTTCCTTTAACTGTATCGGATCTGTATAAACCTACATATTATTAAAACTCAATTCTACCACACAGCTTAACCCTGGGGGAACTTGTCATAACCTGGTGGGCGTCCCACACGCGGCAGAGCGGAGGACGTACTGTCACTCCCGGCAAGGTCTATCACTCGCGCGGGCAGAGCCTCAAAAACTGTCATACCTGGCGGACCACTCAACGCCCAGGAGCAATAGTCTTCATACCACTGCATCGACCAAATCTGAAACTGTCATACCCGGGAATCCTGCATCGCTCGGGCAGAGCCAAAAATCTGTATCTCTGGGGGATGGTACTTCGTAGGTGGTTTTAGCACCTATACAATCTCACAAATCTCAAGTACATATAATCGTCAATAACACTTACCTATGTGCTTATAAATCATGCTATACGAATAAATTCAAAAATCACTATAGGGGTGAAACTGCAATATTTTAAACTTTCAGAACTGACATTTTAACCCAGACTCAGGCGTACCACAACATCATCTCACCACTATCCACACACCACCCGTGAACAATATCCCTTTTAATCTGGTCAATAACCATATAAAACATTTCTCACAATACACATCAAAAACATAAAGATGAAGAATGTAGTTTTAAAAGTAACCCAAGGAAAAGTATAAAGAATTCATGAAGACCATGTCCAACAAATTGAACAAGTAAGACACCTCTACCACTTACTACGGACTTGACCCATTTCTAACAATTTAATGCAAACTCCATTCAACATTAAATGCCACACCAACATTTCCCGTTACCAAACTCTGCATAATATGATTTTCTCCACCCTTCATAAGCCGAAACCCAACTCTCTCTTAGTGCCACCACACCCCAAATCAGCAGCCATCACACAAATTCTTGAGACGCACATATATATTTAAATAACATGCAGCATGAAAGCTTATAGTTTGGAACAAGATCTAATTCATTATCACCCAAAACTTTGCTCAGCCGAAACATGCGATAATTTTAGCAAATAAAACACTTAACTCAAGATTTGTGCACCCAAAACTTATAAAGAAAAGAGAACTTGACATGCAAACCGGAATTAAGTTTTTTTTTAAAAACCTTTTTGGACCACTCTCTTCTATCCTATAATTGGCTGCCTATACAGGTGCTTGGATTCGATCTCCACCGTGTCTCAGATTAGAGCTGTGTTTCATGACACATATCCGAAAACTCAGCACGATCGGACGGCGAATGAGCTCCGATCACGGTTTGATGACCACTGTTCACAGACTTAAAACTAATAACCTCCCTTCTCTTTGTTCTTTCTCTTCTCATCTCCTCTCCTCTATCTCTCGCTCCTCCGCCAAACCACTCTTTCTTCTCTTCCTCTTCCTTTTTTTTTTCTTTTTTTTTTCTTTCTTCTCCCTTTCTCTCCTCTCTTCTTTCTTTCTCTCCTCTCGTTTTCTTCTTCTTCCTTTGGGCGAACTGCCAGTTCCCTTCCCTTTTAAAAAACATTTTCTAAAATTTTTTTCTGCCCCCCAATTCCTCTAATTTCAGTTTAACCCGCCACATAAGCTTTCCTAGCAAAAGTCCAAATTTCCCTCTGATACATGCAACCCTTCAGGATTACTTTGATTTCACCCCCTTAACCAGCTTTAAACTGACAGAAATACCCCTATCTTACCACATCCAAAAATCAAAAAAAAAAAAAGAATTAATTACAAAACAATCATGATCACTAAATCAGGAATGGGTTTAACAACTTCCCCCCCCTTAAAAGAATTTTGCCCCGAAATTTCCTAACCTTATTGAAAAAGTACGGGTACTTAGTCCGCATGACATCTTCAGGCTCCCATGTTGCCTCTTCGATCGCATGTTTCTCCCATACGACTTTTACCCAAGGATGGTTCTAGTACGGAGCACTGCTTTTTATAATCCACAATTTGGCCGGCCTTTCCTCCTAAGTTAGGTGCTCATCCAATTGAAGCGTTTGTTGTGGAGAATGTGGGGGGATTGCTACATACTACGGAGCATGGAACATGGAAGACATTAGGATTCTCTCCAATTCTGGTGGCAAAGCCAATTGGTATGCTACTTCACCATTCTTCCAAGAATCTCATAAGGCCAATAATCTTGGGCTTAACTTACCCCTGCCAATCTTAACACCCCTTCCATGTGAAACTTTTAGGAAAACCTTATCACCCACTTGGAATTCAAGCTCCCTTCCCGCTTACGGCATAACTCTTTTGTCTATCTTGGACCCCTTAGTCTCGCTCCCCTGATATATATAATCTTCTCATTGGTGTCTTGCACAATCCGGGGCCTAACAATTTCCTCTCTCCAACCTCATCCCAACACACTGGAGTTCTACATTTTCGACCGTATAAAGCTTCATATGGTGGCATCCCAATACTAGAGTGATAACTGTATATAGGCGAATTCCACCAAGGGTAATACACCTCCACTTACCCTTGAATTCCATTATACAAGCCCGCAACAACCTCTAAGTCTGATTGTCCTCTCTGATTGCCCATCAGTCTGAGGGTGAGCCGTGCTAAATTTAGTTTGGTACCAAGCCTTCTGTAAACTTGGCCAAAATCTAGATGTGAACCTGGGATCCCATCCGATACTAGAAACAGGGCACCATGAAGCCTCACAATCTCTGCGACATAGATGCTCGCCAACCTATTTAGTGAATAGGGGTCTTAATCGGTAAGAAATGAGCAGACTTTGTCAACCGGTCAACAATCACCATATACCATCATGCTTATATGTAGTACGAGGGAGGCCTATCACGAAGTCCTGGTAATGTGCTCCCATTTCCATTGTGGAATAGGAAGCGGTTGGGACAATCCTGCTGGCCTCTGATGTTCAGCCTTAACTTGTTGATAAACTAAGCATCTAGAAACAAACTCAGCTACTCCCCTTTTCATACCTGGCCACCAGTAATGTTCCTTTAGAGTACGTACAACTTCGACTACCTGGGTGCATCATAAGCTACGAATGAGCCTCCTCTATATCTCCCTTTTCAACTCTTCCGCATTGGCCACACAAGTCTATTCCCCATCTTAACATACCATCGCCCCTAACCAAAAACTGTCCGAAACCCCTCACTAACTTCTCCCATTAACTTCATTATATTAGGGTCCATAACTGAGACTCTCTGATTCGATCCACCAAAATAGGCCTAACTTGAAAATGTGCTAAAAGTACCCCTGACTCATTCATTCCACCTCAACTCCCAAGTCCTCAACTCCTTAACAAGGGAGAACCACCTTCATATGCGCCATGACGCTCGGGTTTTTCTACTTAGGCATGACCCCACTACGTTGGCCTTACCAGGATGATAATCAATCATACAGTCATAATCCTTGATAACTCAATCCACCTTCTCTGCCTTAGATTCATTCCTTTGAGTAACAAATATTTCAAACTCTGATGGTCCGTAAAATCTGACAAGTTACCCCATACAGATAATGTCTCCAAATTTTTAAGGCAAAGACTACTGCTGCTGCGAGTTCCAAATCGTGTTGGGTAATTCATCTCGTTTCTTGATGTTGCTGGAGGCAGAGCTATTACTCTCCCTTGTTGCATCACACAAACCTAACCTTGACGGGATGCATCACTAAACACCACAAATCCATCATACCGGAAGGCAAGGCAAGTACCGGGCTGAAGTCAGCCTTACTTTCATCCTGGAAACTCCGCTCACATCGCATCCCACTCAAACTTTACCTCCTTCCGAGTCATCTGGTCAAAGGGGCTGCATCTGAAAATCCTTCCACAAATCTCCGAGTATCCAGCTAACCCGAGGAAACTCCTTACTTCTGTCACATTAGCGGTCTCTCCCATTCACCACTGCTTCTACTTTCTGGGGATCCACATAAATACCATTTGCGAGATCACATGACCCAAGACGTAATCTGATTGAGCCAAACTGACACTTACTAAACTTGCGCATAGAGTCTATTTTCCCTGAGGGTTTGTAGGACCACCTGGAGGTGCTCCTCATGTTCCTCCTCTTTTCTCGATACACTAAAATGTCATCAATGAATACAACCACAAACCATCCAGATGGACGAAACACCCTATTCATCAGATCCATAAAAGCTGTAGGAGCATTGGTTAGCCAAAAGGCATCACTAAGAACTCATAATGTCCATAACGGGTCCTGAATGCTGTTTTTGGTATATCAGTCTCCCTAATCTTTAGTTGTGGTAACCGACCTTAGATCTATTTGGAGAAGACCCTAGCACCTGCATTGATCAATAAGTCATCGATCCGTGGCAAAGGATACTTGTTACGCACTGTTACCTTATTTAACTGTCGGTAATCTAGCATAATCTGAAAGTACCATCTTTCTTTTAACAATAAATGGTGCTCCCCACGGTGACACACTAGG